CCCAATTACCCTTGGCCCATTCTTCCCAACCCATTAGCCCATTTAAGTGCAAGATTTAATCCTAGCCTTCTATTTTCTTCTAATCCAATGGTCATCATCCCTTCTCCCTCCATATAAAATACCCAATTGTAGAAACCCCACCCCAAGTTTTCAATTCCAAAAACCTAGACCCTAAAAAAATCCATTAAATCAGCCGTTTTTCACTTAGCACAAGAACACACCCTAAGAGAGATGGCAGCCGTTTTTTTTAAAAAAAAAAAAATCTAAAGACTCTTTTCTTCATCTTCAACCTCAAGCCAAAAGAAGACAAAAATGAGAACACCCCCTTCCTGAGCTTCTCTTTCTCCATAGCGACATCTCATGAGCTCTTTTTCCCTAAATGAAAACCCGCTCTTTTACCTCCAAATCGATCAGCAAAAAAAAACCCCATTACAACCCAAATTTCAGCTCCAAAAAGCTAGGAATAGCAGCTGCAAAATAGCTCCAAGAACACCTCAAATCCAGCTTGAAATTCAGCTCCAAAAGTAGCAAAGTTAACTGTAAAACCCAGCTCAAAACCGGCCCCAAACCGTCCTAAAATCACCTAAAACATTCAATTCGTCGAGGTCGTCGAGGTCACCATTCGAGTGCGCCTGTCGCGAGTCTTGTTCGGGTTCGTTGTAGATTTTACTTCGGGGTGTATTCAAAGGCTTATTTTTAATAAAAGTTCAGAAGGAATTTTGGCTACAAAAGGTTTCATTTCTCACTTTTAATTTCATGTTGTTTCAGTATTCTTTGTGTTTACATGTGAGTGTTGGTTTACTTATCTATGTTATAGTGTAGTAGGAATTTTTATTTTTATGTTGAGCATTTAAATGGTGTTAATTGGATTTTGGCTTGATCATTGAAGTAATTTCGGGTGTTCAAATATATTTGGTCTGTTTTGTCTTTTGTTTCTTTGTCAACTACACAGAGATTCTCTGTTCATTTAATTCTTCCCTATATTTTGAATTTCTAAAGTTCTTGAATCCTATTGAAATATCAGTTCCTCTATTAGTACTAATTATTTAATACGTTTTTATGAGTACTTTATATTGGAATTAAAATTATGAATTTCACTCCTTTTTGTTTGAGTAGAAGAAGCTTCTAATTGTTATTTTTGTGCACTGTTGAAGTACTGGCATTCCGGTGAGAATATGTATTGTTAATATATTTTTCTTAATTCTGGGCTCTTGTTGATTTTTGTAATCATTTTAGTTTGTAGATGTGATATTGACAAATCACTCTATGGATTGAAATTTTTGATTGGGTATCTTTGTTCTTGTGGGTTATATGTCTAGTTTTGCAAATCTGGACTTGCACACAAACAAAATAAGATGGCAAGTGAAAGTGACCAAATCTGTCTACTCTGCATGCAATATTTTCCAAAATTAACAAAATATAAGCTTTTTAATGTTGATGGCAAGAACCTTTCTGGAATTGGATTCCTCTTTGAAGGTGTCTCTGTGCACGATTTTTCTTTTGAACATTTAGGGACGATTAATAAATAAATCATTGCAACTATGAGTACGGTTCCCGTGGCATGGTTGTGATACCTAAATTAATTAGTTGTAAAAATAAATATATGTAGTTTAACTAATTGCTTTTCCTTGAATAAATTGAGGCGCACCATGCCAAATAAAATCATCAAAACTCATGGCCCTCACTGAATTAATTTTAACCCTTTAGAAATCGAGGTGTGCCATTTAGTTGAATTTTCCATGGCCCTCGCAAAGTTGAAAATGCGTAGTTGCTTTAGGCGCATAATTTAAATCAATTTCCTTAAACTCGGGTGTGCATTTATGTGACCCAAATCCAAATCTCAACAACGTTTGATAAAATGTGTCGTGGACCGCGGGTGCATTTATGTGACGTGGTTCAAGATGTATTCTAGATGACGTTGAATCTTTCCTAAAAAATAATTAATTAAAAGCGGTTAATAATTTAAAATTGAACCATAGGCTAAACATGTATTAAAATCAGACAATAGGCCAATTATGATAGTTTAAGAGACCGTGCTAGAACCACGGAATTCGGGAGTGCCTAACACCTTCTCCCGGGTTAACAGAATTCCTTACCCGGATTTCTGGTACGCAAACTGTAATACAGAGTCAATCTTTTCCTCGATTCGGGATTCTAAACCGGTGACTTGGGACACCATAAATTATCCCAAATGGCGACTCTAAATTTTAATAAAATAATCTCGTTTTGATTGTCACTTCAAGTGGAAAAACTCCCTTATACCTCCCTTCTGGGGGTGCAGGAAAAAGGAGGTATGACACCCCATATCAAATTTAGAAATCATTAAAAAGCCTTAATACTTTATCCTTGGTACTGAACATTGTCTCATCACGAGAATGGACCAAAATTTTAGTTGACAATGTTGAACCGTCATTAATGGCTTTGATTGATCTACTTGAACCTAGATCTTAGGATCTCCAGTCTTCTAGGTAGAGTTAGCGCCACAATGACTTGTTCTTGGCCATAGTCCCATTCCTCTCGATGATTTCTCAACTACCTCTCTAGTTATGCCTTTTGTAAGTGGATCTGACACATTATCACTTGACTTTACATAGTCAATCATGATAATTCCTCTAGAGAGTAGTTTCCTAACGATTTTATGTCTTTGTCGTATATGACGAGATTTACTGTTATACATAACGCTCCCAACCCTTCCATTTGTCGCTTAACTATCGCAATGTGTGCATATTGGTGCCAACGGTTTGGGCAAAAATGGAATGTCTTCCAAGAAATTTCAGAGTTATTCAGCTTCTTCATCGGCTTTATCTAAGGCTATGAACTCAGACTCCATTGTAGAGCGGGCAATACAAGTTTATTTGGACGCCTTCTAAGATACCGCTCATCCACCAATAGTGAGTGTATATCCACTTGTGGGCTTAGAATCAGCTGAACCGGTGATCCAATTTGCATCACAGTATCTCTCAATCACCGTAGGATATTTACTGTAGTGCGAATTAAAGTCCTGGTAATGTTCTAAATATCCCAAAACTCGTTTCATTGTCATCCAATAAGATTGAGCTGGATTGCTCGTGTATCGACTCAATTTACTTATAGCACAAGCTATATATGGTCGTGTACAATCCATGATATACATTAAGCATCCCAACATACGAGCATAATCCAATTGTGATATGCTTTGGCCTTTGTTCTTTTCTAATGCAAGATTCACGTCAATTGGAGTCTTTGCAACTTAAAACCCTAAGTGCTTGAATTTTTCAAGTATTGTCTTAATATAATGAGATTGTGACAATGCCAGACCTTGAAGTGTCTTATGGATCTTAATCTCCAGAATTAAATCAGTAACTCCCAAGTCCTTCATATCAATCTTGCTAGTTAGCATATACTTAGTCGCATTTATGTTGGCAATATCATTACTCATTATCAGCGTATCATCCACATATAAGCGAACAATGACTATGTGATTTGGAACATTTTTAATGTACACACATTTATCATATTCATTTATCTTAAAATCATTTGACAACATTGTTTGGTCAAATTTCGCATGCCATTGTTTAGGTGCTTGTTTTAGTCCGTAAAGGGACTTAACAAGTCTATATACCTTTTTTTCTTTACCTAGAACCACAAACCCTTCAGGTTGTTCTATGTAGATTACTTCCTCCAAATCTCCATTCAAGAAAGCCATCTTAACGTTCATTTGATGAATTTCAAGACCATACACTGCAGCTAATGCTACTAACATCCATATAGACGTAATTCTTGTAACTGGAGAGTATGTATCAAAATAGTCAAGACCTTCTCGTTATCTATACCCTTTGACTACAAGTCTTGCCTTAAATTTTTCAATAGTGCCATCATCTTTCATTTTCCTCTTAAAAATCCATTTAGAACCCAAAGGTTTATTTCCACGAGGAAGATCAACCAATTCTCATGTATGGTTTTTCAATATGGATTCTATTTCAGTATTGACTGCCTCTTTCCAAAATAATGATTCCGAAGAAGACATAGCTTCTTTAAATGTTCGAGGCTCATTTTTCAATAAGAAATTCATAAAATCTGGTCCAAATGAAGTAAATGTTCTTTGACGTTTACTACGTCTTGGATCCTCCTGATTAAATGCACTTTCTTTTGTTTCTTCCCGAGGTCGTTTAGATCCTTCACCAATCGATGCAAATTCCTTTTTATATAGATATATATTTTCAAAGAACTCAATATTATCTGATTCAATAACCGTATTATTATAAATGTCGGAATTTTTTTATTTATGAACCAGAAATCGATATGCTTTATTATTGGTCACATATCCTATGAAAACACAATCAATGGTTTTCGATCCTATTTTTACCCTTTCGGGTTTAGGGACTTGCACTTTTGCGAAACACCCCCACACTTTAAAATAATTCAAGTTGGACTTCCTTCCTTTCCATTTTTCATATGGAATTGTAACGACCTGGCCGGTCGTTTTATGTATTTCAGCCCTGTTTCCCCCATTTCTGCTTCTTTATATCTTGTTCAGCTATATTATATGGTGTCGGGTTGTTTGGTTTGAGTTCGGAATGATTTTGTGGAGGAATGAGACACTTAGTCTCTCAAGTTGGCCACTTAGTTGGAAAAGTCAACTAGAAGTTGAGTTTTGAGTAAACAATCTCAGAATTTGGTTTTTATGTTTCGGATAGCTTCGTGTGGTAATTTTGGACTTAGGAGCATGTTCGGAATGTAATTTGGAGGTCCGTGGTAGATTTAGGCTTGAATTGACGAAATTGAAATTTTGGCGCTTTCCGGTTGGTAGTGAAAATTTTGATATCGGGGTCGGAATGGAATTCCGAAAGTTGGAGTAGGTTTGTGGTGTCATTTGGGATGTGTGTGCAAAATTTCAGGTCATTCAGACGAGGTTTTATAGACTTTTTGATCGAATTCGAAATTTGAAAGTTTTTGGAATACCTAGGCTTGAATCCGAGGGTGATTTGATGTTTTGATGTTGTTTTGAGTGTTCCGAATGTTAGAACAAGTTTGAATGATGTTATGATTGTTTGGTTGAAGCCCCGAGGGCCTCGGGTGAGTTTCGGATGGTTAACGGGCCAATTCTTGGTGTTAGAGAGTTGCGGATTTGCTGGTTCTGTTTCAGAGGGATTTTGTTCTTCGCGTTCGCGAAATGATGTTGAGAGGCGCAAGTGAGTTACTCTTCGCGTTCACAAAGTATGTCCCGCGTTCGCGAAGAGGAAAGGCAGTTGAGGGCCCCCTAGGAATTTGTGCATCGCGTTCCCGTTCGCGAAGGCCTTGTCAGCTGAAGCTTCGCGTGAAGAGTGTCAAGTTCGCGTAAGAGGGATTATTGGGCAGTGATTTTTGTGCTTTGCGAACGCGAGGTAGTGGCCGCGTTCGCGAAGAAGGAAGCGTCTGGGCAGAAACTTTAAGTTCAAAAACGAGGGTTTAGTCCATATTTTCAAAACTCATTTGAGAGCTCGGGAATAGGTGAATTTGGAGAATATTTTCAAAGGAGTAATTGGGGTAAGTGCTCTTCACTTGTCTTGGGTTAAATTCCATAATCTAGTCTTGATTCTTATCATTTAATTTGAGAATTTAAGGTAAAAATTGGGGAAAATGGAAGAAAATTGGAGAATTGATTTTTCAGGATTTGGAGGGTCATTTGACGTCGAATTTTGATGAATTTGATATGGGTAGACTTGTGACTGAATGGTTTTCTAGTACTACTATATATAAGAGAACAAGGGGGTACCAACACAGCTTTAAGGAAGTGTACAAAGAGTTACTTATGTTGTACTGTAAATGTGTTTGTACTTCTTGGCTATTGATTTCATTGCCTTTTGTGGGCCTGACTATTTAACACGTGTACTTATTCTCGGTAAAACTCAAAAGTCGAATCAGCAAACATAGGTCTCCCTCTGCAATTTCTTTCTCCTTCCCGGCGGTGGACTTCTCAGCCAGAAAGACATCAAAAACCATGGTCAGTCCCTTTTACATCTGTCAAATTTTGCTCCCTACATCTTTCTCCTTAATTTGAATTGTGTTCTTCAAATTTCTTTGTTGGTTTCTCTTGATAGATTTTCTGTGTTAGTTTTGCATGTGTGGGAGATTTTGATGAAAAAGTGCATCTCATTAGCGTTTTATTCTTCAGTTTTAGGTTTGCATCTTATATTTTAGTGATTTTTTCTTCTATTTTAGCATTTTATTCTCTTAATACCAGCATCTTCAGAAAAAATTGGGAAGCTTTCTTAGATTTTTGTCGATATTTACGTTGCCAGGGAGTTTTTTCATCTAAATAAGACTTGAGAAGAATCATCAATTCAATTTAATTTATCTTTTTAGTCCAAATTTCTTCTCCTAAATAGCCACTGTTCCTTTCTGCTCCTTTTGTTTCCAGGTTACTTCTTTCTACCTCCAACTTGCATTGTTTGCTCACTCTTGAGTACTTACAGGTAAGCATTTCTTATTCTTTTGAAATAATTTCTTGCTGGATTTTCGTACATGCATGTCATTTGTTCTGTCTGATCTCTTTTTTTGTTTGGGTAATCAAACTTAAATCTTTCTCCTCTTCATTTACGATGATTACAACTGAATATTAACCGAGTCTGCGTGAAGCTATCTAGATAGATTGTTTCCTGCATTTTTCTTATATTAGTGGATCCATCCATCTGAAGCAGTATATCTTCTATTGTTAGATATTAATGCAAAAATGCGCATTTTCTTATGCTAATCTTTATACTATGATTTTGGATGAGTTGTATCTTTAAAAATTAGTAGTTCAAATTCTAAAGATAGATAAACATTACCAAAGTTTAGTGAAGTTTTCAGTATTAATTCATTTCTTATTTATCAAAATATATTGGTTTCTGTTTTTCTTTAGCCCTATGTGTTAATTATCAGGGCTTTTGTACTGTCACAAGCTAAATTGGGGAAAAATCATCATAGAATTAGAGTGACAATGAACAAAGAAGGTGAAGTATCTCAGTGGGTCATCTATATCCTCACACTCCATCTAATACTATTTTATAAAAATGGGTGACTATTAGGATAAAATTAGATCCTATGATAGGTATTCGATTGTTATAATGGAAGGACTATGTCCTTAGCTTGTTCTTGTTACTATCCTACTTTATTCATACAATAGTAATTTGTCATCATTTATTGAGAGTTTCTTGACAGTTTGTTGACTGAGGTTCATGGTGATTACTCAGAAGATGTTGACTTGAAAGTGGATAGACTAGCAAAGAACGCTGCACCTGATGCAAGTAAATTTGTTGGAGCTTAAATAAATTTAGATTTTGCATGACCTATTTTTTGAACTTGCTTGACTTAAATAGCTTTTATTTTATTCATTCAATTAGTAAGTAGGTTATGTTATTTTCTTCTCATTTTATTGCTGTAGAATTTAGGAACAAAACTACTATATATAAGAAAAGTGGTGGAGCATGTGGTTCTAAATAGGACACAGGGAATACAACTAATACATACATTTGACTTGAATTCATTTGGAATTGAGATAGTGATATTGATCGATCAATAATCATTTCGTAAGCATAAGTCGATAAAGACTACGATCTTAAACTGAAGTGTCATTGTGCTGCCTCAATTTTGTACACGCAATTCAAATGTACTCACAAATGTAATGTCAGATCTTCTATTTTGCTGCTAAAAAGGCCTTCCAATCAGCAAAGAGGCAAACCAGTGTATGAAATTGAATTTTCTCGACAAGTCCAGTGGTTTTTCAGTTGTTGTAGCTGTTATTTCATATTGAGCTTGCCTCAATAAGTCCCATCTTAATCTTTTTGAGATCTATTCGGAAGGTCCATTTCTGCATTGTTCTTCCTTCTTTGGATTAAATAAGAATTAATAATTTGTTATTTTTTTAAAGGTCTGTGACTGTGTGAAAATTGGATCGAGCTTTACCTTTGAGCTCCTGAATATGTTGTGCTAAATTATTAGATCTAATTTCTATTACAGATGGCCGTTTGAACTGGAAAGCTGAAATTTTTAGTTTCCTCCACTTACTTTTTGTTATTTGGATCTATTTAATAAAAGATTAGATGAGTCTGAAGATTGTATTATGCAAGCTAGAAGAAAAATATTATAAAAGCTATAAAGAAAACTACAAATGCTTGCTGCTTTGGGACAATATGCTTTTCAAAATGAAATTGTCAATATTTGGTGCTATATGGTTAAGAAGTGGAATTTGAGGGGATCCATTTTGCCAAAATAATGTCACTGTTCAAGACAGTTCCTTAGGCATCTCTTCTTCTGCGGCATAGCGATTTAGATTTATTTACAAAGAGTATATCCTTATAATCATATGTGTTAATCACGTGATTCTGGTTATACGGATCTGGGATACCTGGGATGGTGGTGCACAATGACTACAGATTAGGAAAGCAAAGACACGTGCTGCTCTATAGCTTAAAGATGGAGGAGAAATGCAAGGGCCTTCCATAAAGTAAGTAAAATAATCGCTTTAAGCCCCATATTTGTGGGGGCCTAATTTTTTATTACACCTAATAGACTATGTAGAGTTCTGTAAAGTGAAAAAAATTTGATTTCTTTCTTTAATAAATATAGACAAGAAGGATTTGCAACTGCTATGATTTCTACCAAGGAAATTGCACTTGAAATGAATATCGAACTTAAATTTCGTAAGAAACGTGTGATATATAGGAAGTAACAATTTGATGCGAATGTTGATAATAAAATCTCAAAATCATTCGAAGAGTCCTTTAGTGTTGATTACTTTTATACATAATAGACAAGGCTATTTTTTCACTTCAAAATAGATTAAAAATTCGAAGCATATGAAAATATTTTTGGTTTTCTATTTGGCAGTAAAAACTAAGATCATTAGATGTTGGAAATTTGAAAAAATTTCCTTAATCTTGAATGTTCTTTGAAGCATGATAATCAATTCGATATTGATGGTTTAGATTTATTTTTTGAACCAGAAGTATTAAGAAAAATAGTACAATTAGAAGATAACAGTTTAATTGATACATTTAATAAAATAAAAAGATTTTTTTTTTTTCAAATGCATAAATATCTTATGGAATAATGTTCATAACTCATGTTACCGATGCTTCAGCGGAAAGAAGTTTTCAAAATTAAAATTGATTAAATCTTACCTAAGAACAATAATGTCACAAGAAAGGTTAAATGGATTAACTATACTGTCAATTGAGAAATACTTATTAGGAGTTATTGATTTTAAGAAAATTATTAATAACTTTGTATCTAAGAAAAGCTAAAAATAGACTACAAATAAAAAAAAATTAAAAGTTAAGACCCCTCATAAAGTCTGGCTTTAGGTCACAAAATTCGTCGGGCCGCCCGGAGAAATGAGAACCGGGTATGGTGGATAAAGATGGTAAGTAAACTTAAAGCCTTGCTCCTATTCTTCCTGTTAAAAATGTCTATGTTGGATGCGACTTCATAATAAGAAAAAGTGCAGAAAATGGTATATTCATGAAACGCACATCTAAAAAGTAAATTGTATTATTTCTATCTCATTGTACTTTTCCTGGTAAGATGAGTTGGAAGCGAGATGATTTATGCAGATATAACAGACATTTGAGTGAGTTCATTTCTCGGGTGTCAAAGATCTGTAAATTAGATGAGATGTTTCATTTCTCTTCTTAATTAAGGGTTGGAATAAGTACTTGGCTGACATTATTAGCCCATTCATGTAATCTGGAGTTAGATGTAAGGGGTTGGTTAAAGGACAGTCTTCTAACGGATGCAATGATCTTTTGTCGAGTAACAATTACTCTATACGCTCTGTTATGGCATCATATTAGCATATAGCTTATGCTTTTAGCGTAATGTTTTTCTTCTTCGATTCTTTTTTTATTCTTTATCGCTATCCTTCATCACAAATGACAAAATTAACTGTTGTCTGGAAATATAAAATGTTAGGCCATGTCCATCTAGTTTACTATACTACTATTAATAAGCCAGAGCCGAGAGGAGCTTCCGGTTCAAGTGAATTTACGGAAAAACCCATAGAGATTCAACTTTATTCTAGGAATTGACAAAATAACCGAGTCAATAGTAATCACGAAGATCTCCGTCAAAGGGCAATACAGTCATTCCAGAACATAGCGCCAAATACGTGGACAACTTTGCAGGAAAATTGGGCCCTACTCCAATTTTGCTTCCACGCGCTTAATTTGAAGGCTCTTAAAACGTTATCACTGTTACGAATAGTTTGTACTTGGGATACTACATTGGATGCTCCATTGGATACTCATGTTGTGAATAACTTAAAGGTTAAATTTCCTATTTTATGTCCATCATCTTTACTTTTTATGCCTATAAAAGGTCATGTAATTGCAATGAAAAATTACACCAAAATGAAAGAAGAAAACACTTCTTCATTCTCTCTATCTCTTCTTGTTTACATTTTACTGCATTGCTTTTATTTTATAACACGTTATCAGCACGAAACTCTAATTTTATTCTTAACTTCCGCTAAGTTGAGCCATATTTTATTAAGGTATGTATCATTATAATCATTTTATTTATGGCAGTACATATCATATGCTCATTGTTTGCAGATTACTTGTGCGCTTGGGCATCTTAAATAGTTTAAGTACATTGCAGTGATAAAATAACTATTTCCTTCCGTGCTCAACTCTTAGAGGACCTCAAAGTCATCAAACTAGCTATGCACTAATGTCATACTTATAATATTCATGGACTCCCTAGATCAAAACATATCTTTAAGGCATTTTGAAGAACTGTGAGAAATAAATTGACAA